AACAAGGTTATGCAAGATTTCAATGGTCCCTAGGGGGTTAGGGACAGTTGTCTTTCAAAACAGGCAATACTCCTGTGTGTTCTGAAAAGTATATTGACTTGAACAGTATAAGATCATTTATTTGATTCGTTCACAATTGTTCGAGTTTACTCATTATTACTGAGAATTCCAAATATCTATAAAATTGTATTGAGTTTTCAGACTGTGTCTAAAATTTGAGGTCTTTGTGAATCTGATCGATACTTCACTTATAAAAATCCAATAATCCACTGTAAAGTATAATTTCCGTTGTTTTGACAGATATGTATACATTTGGGTTCGTACACTGAAAGACAGTGATTGCCGCCGATTTTTTTGCTTACTTCTCGGCGGCGGAAATTGGTCAAAATTACCATTTACATTTTTATATTTGATTTAACTATTCTTTGAAGAGGACTGTGACATATTAATTAGTTTTTTTATAACAACCCTTTACACTACCCACTAGCTTGGGTTAAAAGCTCCAATGTATAGTTTGTTGAAAGCCTTAGCAGGTTTTTCATTAGTGCCTTTAGATATAACGAAAGTGCAATCTTTCAGAGATATTGAAACAAGGCCGTTGTCGCCGTTTGTCGAGGAACCTTCAGTCAATATCGTTTCCTGTACGCATGTCCAGAAGACATTGGAACCCACATACCTCATATTCGACTTTAGTCCGAAACTGCACCCGAAACTTAAGAGTGAAGCATCGACAAACGACGGCGAGGGTTTATCAGGAAAGTGTGGAAAACAACAGACCAACTCGTCCCGTTACGGAATCGAGCTTTACTCTTAAAGGAAATATCACATGGGTAGTTGTGTGTACATTATGCGCTGTGTGACTCATTCATGCCTATCCATTCTGCTTCTTGTACAAACAAGCACACCACAAGAGGTGATGACTCAGATATTACTTACAAATGTCTTCATGTTTTGTCTATTTTCAAGGCAGTGATGCAAACCTGTAGGTTTATCCCTGGCCTTTGTAATACAGTAAATCCAACTCCCCTATAATGAATAAATGTTTTAGCTGAAAGAAAAAGAAAAGAACTAGAAATTTCATTGTGGAGCATTTTTATCAAATGATAAGGAAAGGACAGTGAGTGGGCGTACAAACGAACCAGCACCTTATCATTTTCGAAACAAGGGGTCAACTTTGGAGGACATATAAAAAACATTGAAAACCAGGGTACATCGTGAAATTTGGTTACATTATTACAGCAGGGTCCCACATCACTGGGTACTATTGTCTTGCAAAATTGGAGTCGGACAATGAGTCTCTTCTGTAGCGAAAAGAGTGAGTCTTGCGCAGCGCAGCGCAATCAAGATGAGAGTGCATGCACAAACTGGAAGATAAAACATTTTCAGCATTTAATATTTGGTTTGCTCTCATTTACCAAGACCTCGACATGAGGGATGGATTGCTGAATGATATGTTCTTCAAAAGTAACCGAACTGAAAGAACTAAAAAAACAAAACAAAAACAAAACAAAACAAATAACGATAGACGCCGATTAACGTTTTCAGTGTGCGTTTTTGTAGTAACTTATAAACAACACCCTCAGTGGTGAGGAATCGCGCCAGATGTCATTGACAAAATTTAATTCACAAAATGAAGTACAAAACGAAACTTCAATGTGAAGGAATTTTTCCTTTTTAACAGGAGTTTACCTTTCTTGTCTGCAAGATATTGTCGGTGGTCTGTCTCCTGCCCTATTTTACAAAAATGTGACGTGTCAGCTTTTAATCACCTTTGGAACTTAGGCCTACTCAAAATATTGAAGGTTTTTTCAACAAAAAGTGACAAGTCAAACATGTGAACAGGTATATAGCAGAACACTTTATTACATTGCACAGGTGTTGAACGGATTTAGAACATTCACAAGCATGCACACGTGTTAGCTTGGCCTCATCTTCAAACAGGGGTTCTTGGAAACTCCAAACAAAAAGGTAGCAATTTGGGTTGACAACTTTTCGCTGGTGCTCTTTATTTTGCCCCAGCACAACCATGAACACCCAATGCGGATATATTACAAATATATATATCTATACGGTTCGGCCATTTTCTGTTCTCCAAAACCAGGCATTTAGGCCTACACTGAAACTTGATGTCTCTTAACCTAAAAAAAATTCCTACCCATCAAGGTATGCTGCCGGCGACAAAATTCTCGGCAATGCGAACGAGATTTCTTCAGAGATAATTAGTACAAGCAACCTTACGGTATATTTAAATTTAGGCTCACAATTTCGAAAAATACAGTCGGCCTACACCAGTAAAAACACACGACAACATGTGAAGATTTTGAATAACGGCATCCTTCACAATTGTCCATCATAGTCTACATAACTGCACATCAAACAACACAATCTGCTACAATAATTCAGAAACAATAGCATTTGGGAGTGAAATCCCACTTACACTCTCCGAAATAACGCATCTTTAATGGACCGAACTGTCCAAGAAGCTAAAGTGCGTACATGCAAAGACTGGAATCGGAAGTACAATAAAGTTTTATATGATAAAATAAATATTAATTTCAAGGAAACTGGATGACTTATTTCCCACGGACAGTGTAGAATATTATGTCAGGCAAGCACATAAAACATTTTGATAATGTATAGTACAATATTGTAACTTTCAGGAAAGCGTGTAAATGGATGCAATGAAATATACACTGATACAAGCATTGCTAATTCACCAAACCCGTGTTTCCAACAGTGTTTAATGTTAACCCTGCTTCTGCAAAAAAAATATCTCAAACTGTCACATACAAATGTCAGGGAATGTACGCTGTTAAATGAGTGTTATGAGGTGTCATGACTGAAACCAACCTTGCACTCACTCAGATTTTAATTCAAGGTGAAACATAAACATATCAAGTATCAGATAAATATTGCACAATATAATTTCCTTACTGTTCCTCTATATAAACATAAAATATCTATGAATATAAAGTTACCTTAATGTTCTTTCATATAAACATGAAATTGTTGAGGAACAGATATACATAAATATTTTATTTTAATCATAAATATATTATATATTTACAACATTGGCTCATTTGGCTCAATCACACAGCTTCATGGTCATAACATAAATTACCTACTTTCAATCCATTAGCTGAAAGCTCAGCCACTGGCTTTTCACCATAGTGACTCGCTCAACCTTTCCTTTATATGACCCAGCCACAACTCCCTTGATATGCAGTGTAAGACATGAGCAAGCCCTTGATTTATTGTGCCCAATTTAGACGAAGAAATTATCTTTCCAAGTACAGAGCAAGTTGGGATGCCGAGCTTGCTGTGAAAAAAGGGGAAACTGCTGCTAAGGATCACGCTTGTGACCTGCGAGGAAAGTGATGAGTCAGATCTGTGTCAACTTGAAATGTAAGGAAAAGGAAAAAACTAGCTGTGCTAACCAGTAAGCTAAATGGGTGATGGACTACGTAAATAACATGCAAATGAATGTGCAGATATTGAGAATGAAACCGGGAATGAAACTAGTGGCTTTCATCAGAATTTAATTCTTAAAGACGATTGTCCTCTACATCAAAACAAGTAATAAAAGAGACACTCATGTTGCTGTACTGGTAATTTTTCTCTGATTTTGGTGGGCACTGTAAGCCCGATTACTCCCCCTAACCAATTTACCTCCAGCAAGAAAATGTCAAAACTGTGGATGGTTGGAGTGGTGCCATCTTGAACGGTATACTCTTAACTTGTACACACACCAAACTATACATGTGTATGTTGGGAAAGCATGTCCCCTCCTTCTAAGACTGGCACAAAGAAATCTATGCCACCATTTACCTACTTTTGTGGAAAAGGGTGTAAAGAGTGACATGGGTGTAAATCTACTCACGTGAAGTACTGAACAGATTTCCAGCAATGTTCTAATTATGTTCCTGAAATGAAATTCACTTTATCCACATCTTGACATAAAAGATCTTTAACTACAAAATACATCAAACACAAAAGCCTTATCAGTGATTGTGCGGGTCAGTTGAAAAATCCTAAGAGAAAACAAATATGATTCACTCTAAACGATGGTGATCAAAACTGGTATTCTGTAAATCATACACAAAACCTACAGTTTAATTTTCACAGATGACCAAACACTTCTCTAGTTGATCAACATGATGCTCATTGTCCTTTTGGTCCTTGGAAGTGGTTGAATGCCAATTTTAATACTGCATCAAACTAAATTTACATTGCTAATCACAAAGGTTAACTCTTTGGTGACTCTATTGGCTGAAAACCTCTAGAACTGCCTAAGCCGATTGCTGATGATAACGGACAGTTTGAACTGTTTGTTTTGCACGAGCACATGAAGAGGTAAATGCTTCTACATTGCAATCATAAAGCATGGGTATCCGGCATGCATTTTGTATTGTACTTCCACTTAAAAAAGTATATTGTCTCATTTAGGAAGTCCTCTTAACACATGACACTTCCAGACCATAAAAATTGGATAAATAGACTTTATTCACTGGTTGGCCATATTGAATTGAAAGTTAGATTAACTTTCATGTTGTGAACCTCAGAATAAAAATGAAAGCAATAAAATAACTACAAATTTATTGTTATTTGTAATTCCATATTGATGCCAGTGTCTACTGTTGACTAATTTAAAATTTGTTGTTATTTATATCTAATTGTCTTGAGCCACGTTTAAAAGAACAACAAAAATTTAACCTTAGAACCCCTAAATAGTCTGGCTCCACCCCATTTAGCAGATTCTTTTTGAGTGAGATAGATTCAGGGGGGAAACAGTCAAAATGGCCTTCCAGAGAATAAGGTCTGTTGTGTTGGCAAAGTTGTCCGAGCTGCAAGGGTTAGTTCTTTGAGCCAGTGGAGGCTTCATTGCTGGAGTCATACCCCTCTCCTTGTAGAGTAGATGCCTTGCTTTGACGGTCCTCAGATCCATTCAGGGTGGTGCTGCTTCCATCCGAGGACAGTCCATTGTATATGTCCTCGGATTGGTCAGACTCTGCTCCCTCAGTGCTGTCCTTCTTCTGTGGGCTGCTCGTTGCAGGGCCTTGAGCGCTGTGTTTGTTAAAGATCAATCTCTTTTAATCTAGGCACGCAGCTGTAAATGCTTAAAAACACTATTAAAAACATTAGTTTATATCTCCTTATGTCGATGCTTAAAGCTTTTTGAGAAGTGTTGCGTGCTGACAAGTCAAAGGACAGTTACTCTTAGCTTGGACATCCATGTAAGGAAAATCCAAGTTGCTTAAAACTTTTCAACTTATGAATTATCATTAACAGAACTGATAGAGCGTAAACTTTTTTTTAAAAAGCACTTGAGCTACACTCTGACACAAAGTTGAGCACTTTGGTTAGAATGAACATGGTGGCATGGACACCATATTTCAAGTTCAGGACTTCTGATGACATTCCAAGGATTTTTAGGGCATTCACGGACCTTCTGAAAAGTTCAATAAAATTCCCCAGAGGACATTCCAAGAGTTTTAGGATGTCCCACAACTTGCATGCCAAAGATATTCTGGGAGTTGACAAGGCCTTCTCAGGACATCCTCTGAGGATCTTCTAATTACCAGAATCAGGACCAATTTTAACCCCAATGAAAGGAGAGGCATTCTTACACATCCTCCTCAAACATGGAGTGATCAGTGGATGGTCTTTGCTCCTGTCCCGTCTCAGCGGTAGGAGGGATGGACCGCTCTCTCTCCTGAGAACGTTTCTCCTCTCTCTCCACATCACTGATGCTCCGAGCCATGCGGTGCCTCTCCTCTGCAGGTCCAATGAAAGCAAATCGGTAAAATACCTGGGTTCTGTTTCACAGCGGTAGTATCTGGTCTTCTCATCAGAGAATACCTATGTGCACTTTTAAGAGTATCTGACTGTAAGAGCATGCATGGGCGATTGGGGCTGATACGTAAATTCAAAATTTGTTTGTCTCCGTCATAGGGCATCATATGCAGTCAGAACACTTGGCAGTTGTGTTTATGGCAACATGAAAATATAACTTCACAAAGTGAACTCACATGCATTAATGTGACACTCAGGAACAATTAAGGCAGTACATCATAATTACCCCAGCACATCAGGAAAATATCCCAAATAGTTAACTTTGCACACTGATAAACTAATGAAGGTACAATTGAATGCAGTAAATGTGCCATTCAACCAATCATTTACCGAAGTGGACATGCATGCACAGCTTTTCTGTACTGACCATTTGCTTTCATAGTGAATAGATCCATGCAGAGCCTTTGGCCAATTCTTCCAGGAAACAGGCCACTAAATATCAGTGAATTTGTTTTCCAGTGACTTGAATGTGAACAATGAAAGGGGATAGAAAGATTACTTATGCCAGAAAAGTTGGACTTGGAGCTGCTCTTCTTGTGAATCTGCTTTCTCTTGGGGTTGCTGTTCTCCTCATTTTGCTCTTCCTCTAGAAGGATGCTGCCAGTCATGCTGGACCTCCCAGGGGAAGCCCCATCACCCTCCTTGTCCCACAGAAGGTTCATATTACCCACACTCTCCCGAGGTGAGTGGCCCTTGCCGCTAATGATCCGCATGACATGCAGATCCTTGAGGTTGGGTGATGTCACGCTGGCTGCCCGACGTATGGGCCGTTTTGGGTGGGATGCCTCACGACGGCCAGCCTGCTGTGGCTGCTGTTGCGGTGGACAGCCACTGACATGCTCGTTCTGGGATTCAGAGTCTTCGTTGGAGTGGTTGGGGTTGTGATGGTGCTTTTTGGCTCTCTTGACCACTGGAAACAAATCATAAAGACAGGAAGGTCTTAAAGGTGCTGATTCCAACCGCTGTGTGAATTTGATATTTGTGTATAATTATTTTTTGAAGCACAGAAGACACAACAGGAGGACAAATTGAAGTGGATAAAAGTGGAGTACAGACCTTATCCAAACCAAAAAGTGCCCTCAAATTGTATCTGCCATACCTTAATTAGGCTAATTAGTTATTCATCACATTTGCTTTCTAAGAATTTGAAAATTTTTACAAACATTCCAAAACAAGTGCTTCTACGTATATACCAACTAAAAAGAGAATTTTCTTTGAATATGAAATTTAAAGAACCAACTCTTTTGGAATTGATTCTTGTTTCCAAATATGTATAAACATATTGTATGTTTATATGTATAAACATAAATGTGGAATTAACAGATTATAAACCCAAAGTATTTGATGAGGTCAGATGTCTCAAGTCAACTCACACTTCTTTTTCCTCTTGTGCTGGGCTCTTCCTCCAAAGATGAGCTCATCTGAAGAGATGTCTGACTTGGAGTAGTGGGCGATTTCATCTGGGATCTCGTTCAGGCCGCTGCGGTAGGACCCCTTCAGGATGGTGCTGGCAATCTTGTTGGCCCGGGCCACCTCCAGCACGGCATTGAAGAATTTGCTCTCCGTGTTGTTATCCTTCAACAGGATGGACTCGGCAATCAGCGACTTGCCCCGCCGCTTCTTGCCCATGTTTTCGTTGGCCTGGTTCTTTTTTAAGATCTCTCTGATATTGAGGGAGGAGGAAAACACACTGAGCATTCAACAAACTAGTGTCAGAGGTGCATTTGACTCATATAACAAGTAAAATAACTTGTTTGCACAAATCTCTCGTGGGAATTGTTCATGAGTGTAGGCAACCTTGGCATCCTTCATGTAAGCAGAATGCACCCGAGGCCTCCTTTAAATACCTTACCTAAATATGAACACTGTATACACAACATTTGCTTGGCATTTCACTGCCCAAAACTTTGAGCACATTCTGTGGAAACTTGTTTGCTGAGACGCTATACTATGCACCCCGGGGGAATAACTTTCACAGGAAATTTAAAACTGTTCCCGTTACCGACATACTATTGTGAGCAGGCCACACATCCATATGCAATAGGGTCTGTGGGGTTAGGGCTTGGTGATGGAACAGTAAATGGTACATGTTATTAACATAGCACTGAACACACCTCATGCCAATAAAGGAGAGCATGAAATACGTGCTTCACATGTTAATCAAATAATCCCAATTCATGGACTGGCACTGCACAACCAGTTAAAATGGTTATCCCACAAGCTTCTTCTTCCAGCAAATACTACCCAGATCTGTTGCTGTAGCAATGAAGAGTCGGCAACACTTAAAAGGAACATGGCTAGTACTGAAAACAGGCAGATTGACAAACAGCTAAGATGATTAATGAATCTTACAACCATATGAGCAGGTACCTTGCTTTTCTCTTGAGACTCTCCTGTGCATCTGGGTAGTTGGTGACAACCTCTTGCAGGACCCTCTTGTCAAGAACAAACAAATTGGAGTAGCCAGGAGAGTACACATCCGCAGTGCGGCGGTTACCACATCCTACACTCAACAAACTGTCAAAAATACACGGTGACATTGAATCGTGTACACTGGTCATCATCATAACTACAATCAGAGGCACACAAGTGGTAGAATACATAGGCCTAACGAGGCCAATAAAACAACCATTTTTCTGGAAACCTTATTTCAGACTCTGGCTGAACAGATTGGTCAGTGACCACTTTTTAAAAGACTGAATTCAACACTTTGCATGTTAAATCCGGTTTTTAAAAACTTTAAATCCTGTTTATTCAACACTTTAAATGTGAATTCAATGATTTCAATTTCAAATGTTGAATTAACACTTAAATTGTAGAATAATCTCCATACCTGTTGAATTTAATATTCAAATGTTGACCATTCAAAATGCTGGATTCAACACTTCCACAGAGTGGTCCCCGACCGCACTTATGGATTCAACCCTTCCGTTTTGAACAATTGGGGTGAGATTGCTTTGAAAGGGGGGGACACATTCAAGGTTGCAAGAGGAGAAGAGTAAGCAACGAACAAAAAGGAGGTAACAATGTATGGAATTTCTAAATTCAAGGAAATCTTTTTGCGTACCTTATTTCTCCAAAGTAACTCCCTGGATGCAGTGTAGCCAGCACAGTTCGATTGTTTTGTCCACCGAGCACCTGCACGGCCCCATTTTTGATGATGTACATTTCTTTGCCCACTTCACCCTGAAACAAAGTCAAATAAGATGCACAATGCTAGTGGCTCAAAAGCGTGCCACTTGTAAACAAAATTGATCAGCTTGAAGATACATAAGATAAAAGTCTTCCCAATATGAATTAAAAAAACTGTTGAGGAAACCAGAGATATGGTTACTGAGTTGATAAAGATGATGTGACATATAATAACCATTCCTAAATACCTAAGACAGTAATAGCCCTCCTATTGGTTGAGAGCCTGTCATGTGGCTGGTCCTTAACCTTCGATAATGCTGTGGCTGGCCGTATGCTAACACACCCAGTATGCGCAACATGCATGCTAATCTCCACATAAGGAGACTGTTTACAGCTACTTATGAGCAAAACATACCACAATATGGCTAGTGGGGAATTTGAAAAAATGGAAGTAAATTGTTAAACAAAACCACTGGAGATTTATTATTTTCTAAACTTGTTATGACTTTGTGACTCAAAAGGTACTTTTGAATGGTTATAAAAATGTACTTGGCCACAGATGCTGTTAATGTCCCATCCACAGAACTTGGGCATTATCAGCATCCATTCTCTCGATCCATTCTTAAATGAACTTTCAAGGCTGACCAAGCGCATATGTATTCCCTTACTCAAAAATGTATTTATAAGATCAGGTTTAACAAAGTGTGCATCAGTGCAGTGCTGCTGCAGTTAATTGCTCATTGTTGGATGGCTGTATTTATATGAGTTGACCCACGTATAAAGGGGCCAACACAACCGTGAATTAAAAACTCACACACTACATGTAGACGTTGCCCAGACAAAACGACCAGTCTCTGACTTTGAATACAGAGGTGACTTTGGACATTCCAAGGTTTTACTCTTGATCTCTGACACAATCTCAAGACTGCATTAGCACCTGTACATGATCAAATGAACCTGGGTTTGGTGTTGTGTGTAATTTTGCTCTTCACATTACCTTACGGCAGATGTAGTCGCCAGGCAGGAAGAGTACCGGTCGTAGTTTCAACACCAGATCGCGCAACAGCATCTTATCACAATCCTAAATGCAGATGAGAAACAGAAGATTACTGATTTGAATATGTCTACCTTCCCTACGGGCACACCTGAGGGGGGGTGGGGAGACTTGGGACTTAAGCCCCCCCCCATTTCTTTTACCTCTGAAAAACAAAGATACCACGCACACATGGACTGCCTCATACAACAAAGGACCTGGGGAAACTGCTTTTCAAATGAAATAAATGCAATCCTTGGCTGGCATACACCATATCCAATTGTCCACATATCATCTAGTTACAGTTACAGCGCAAGCACACGTTTTCACTTTAGTGTCTCACAAGTCACAATTTCTTAATCTGCTTTAATTATGTTAAAAAATGATTTCTTTGTAAACTTTGTAATTTCTTAAGTTTCTTCTTTTTGGGGGGGTCCAGGCCGCATTCCACATGTCAAAAATGTGAATTTGAAGAATTTTACATGACTCTCTTGAAAACTGTCTGCACTCTAGTGACACATTGTTCCACGTGCAATTAAATATTATAATGATAATTTTAAACGTGGATCTGAGTTTTGGGAGGGGATTTTAGATATGGTTTTAATCTGTATGTGATCGGAGTGTATTTTGTCTGTCTTGCTATGGAGTGTATATGAGTTGGACGAATTTGAATTGTATTTTAATGTATTTGTATTTTGATATTTTAATGAGCTGGATATACCTGAATTTTATTTTATGTAACTCTGTATTTTATGTAATTTTGTGTGCGAGAAAAAGAATTTCCCTGCGGGGATGAATAAAGAATCGAATCAAATAATTATGGTGACACTTTATTAAGTTTACGATTTAACCATCCAGTGTTCAAGAAAAAAATGAGCAGAAACATATCTGGAAAGAGCAAATTACCTGGAACAGGGAGACTTTGCTGAGAGTGTCCATGTGAACATGGATTGCAATGTCTGTCTGCATTTTGATTGGTACATTCTTCATGATTTCCTTCTCATCTGAAAGAAGGAAATAAATGTTAAAATGAACTATTAAAATGACAAATTTAGATTCTGACATTTCAAACTTGAGAGCATCTGACTTTTTACTACTTTGATATGCTTTTTGTCATATATTTGCATGACAATTCTAAACAAATAAGGAAGAAAATAGACTTTAAGCAATCATTTGTCGAAAATCATAAATGATGAAGAGGCCCGTGACGGATCGTTAACAGCTTATTTCATGCAAGAAGGTTTGTAAGCAACTCTCCTTTCTGAGAGTGTAAGGGTCTGACAAAAAAAATAGTGGATTTTTCACTCAACATTTCAAACAGAGTGCTCCAATCATTTTTTTCATCACTTTCTAATGAAGAGAAACAGAGCACAATGTTTAAAAATGGAGAGTGAACTCTCCGGTTCTTTTCAGAACAAAACACACTCACAAAATGGAGCTGCTCACACAGTGTTACCCAAAACCTCATATTAAGTACTTCCATCATACATGACCTCAAGTCTAGTTTATTTGGAGCAGCAGGTCCTCAGACCAACGTATTTATACTGTTGCTGTTCCTTGCCTTTCTTTGTCATGCTGTGAGAATGGCAAAAATACCTAAGTAAATGATTAAAACAATTTCATGTTCTCTTTCATTGGAGAAATTGGGTATGCACCTTCAGTGTTCCACTTCCGTCAGCCTCTTTTGGTCTTACTCCCAGAACACAAATATAACAGACCTATCTTAAGAAAACTGTCAATGACATTATCAAGTACGAACAGGGGGATTTCACTTCATGTTTTTCAATGGTTCTTCTTCAAAGAAACCCTTACCAAGTACTAGCTTCCAATGGCAGTAGAATGATTTTTAAAGTATCAGCCATTAATAGGCCGATCCATTATGCCCCATCCCATTATAGGATCTGCAAAAAGGGGAGGGGCCATGTCCTGCTCCCTCTGCCAGTAAAAAAAGGTGGGGGGGGGCACTGGCTCACCCACTTTCACTGCTAGTGCCAGCTGCAAGGAGTCTTTTAATAAGGGAATAAATATGTGCTTGGCAGGTCTTGTGGCTCGGGCATTAGTCTGGTTTATTCTCCTGAGCTGGTCTTAAATGATAGCTTAAGACCGGCCAAACACATATTTATTCCCATTCATAAATACCTTTTTAGGCAGGGTGTCAAAAGAAGTCAATATATGACAGATTTCCAGTGATTTTGTTCTAGAATTTTACTTTTATTTTTTCGAAAACGCCCCGTCCATTTTATGGAATATTCCTTGTGCAGATTGTCCAATTGACTCACGTGCACTCAAGACTCTTGACCAATCAGAATTGATGAATTGATTGTATCCAGGTGCCAGTGCATGATTTACGCAGCGGGCATTATCACTTCTCAGCGGGCATTATCAAATGTTAATACACGGTCAAGGTGCATGTTGTTGAATAGGGAGACTGTTTCAAGTATTTATGAATCATGAATTTAACCTTCTACTTGAATAATCAACAAGTATCTATAAACTACTATGTGCTTACCAAGGAGTTCTCTCCGATCCCAAGAGTACATAAACCACAGACGCACTCTCCTCTGCACGCTCTCTGGGATCTTCCAGATCTTCAGCAGTGACATGGTGTTGTCCATACGCCGGCGGAAAGCACCTTTGGACGCCCCTGCTGCCCCCACAATGTCTCGCATCTAGGGATAAATGTCTTCAGTTAGAGCTCTCATGTGTGAAATAATTTTCTTTCAAAGATTTCCTTTCCATGGGGTGCTTCATCCTCCTGGAATTTCGTGCATTTCGCCCACAACTTCTTCCACGAAAATGGGACTGCTGTATTTTACAGCCCACCCTGTCATCCTCATTGTCAAATATGCCACTGAGCAAAAGCCTATCTGCAGAAAGTGTGGTTCCAAATCTAGCACAAGACATACGTGTTATGTCAGAAGCATTTATATTTTGATCTCCTGCTTCTGTGTGACTTTTACCTAAATATTTTCTGACCATTTTGCCAAAACAGTGAGAATCCAGGGACAGCATGATTGGTTGAAACCAGTTGAAAATATGACCTGCATTGCAGAGTAGAGCACAGTTACCTGTCCAATGATGGTGGCAAAGACAAAGACGCCAACCATAAAATCCATATTCATGAAGAAGAACTCAAATGTGGTGATGGGGGTCGGCAGGTTGCCAATGGTGATGAGAGTTTTTGTTGCTCGGTACAGGCAACGTATGTAGCTACAAATTGGTCAAGAAAAGAAGAAAAAAAAAAATTGGCACTAGAACGTGAGTTAAGATTTCTGATCTTGATGCGGCAAACATATAATACCTTACCCACAGATTCTGTCCCTTGGGCCAAGTTTGCATGTGTTACCCTCCTAATACTCTAAGGTGCAGGAAAATGTGCATGCCCATTGCTCTTGGATCACATCGTGCAAATTAATGGTCAACGATTACCTCTCTGTCATCATGAAATAGAGATACACAAGTATACTCAAAGTTCGACTGAGATTATATTCTTGCTTACCTATGGGTTGTACCCCGTGCATTCACAAGTGTACTCATGGTATTAGACACAAGTAACACACCTAAACTCAGCCATCACATGACAAAGAGAGTATCACACACAATTACCTATTTTATTGGCTTGACACCTTGCACTTCCATGAAAGACTATACCGTGACACCCTCTTTCTAAAAATCATAAGACGCACAGCAAACATTTTTATGACTGGTCTGTGTATATGTGGTATATGGACTCACATGGGAGTGCCTTAATTGTGCCAAGTTTAGGAATATGTCTTATTGCACACTACTGCATAAATATATCCTTTAGGTCCGACCAAATGAGAACTGCCTACGATATTTAAGAATTATGTTTACCAATAGTACATGCACTTAGATGAAAGTGACTGAGTTGATTTCCATGCTTGAGAAAGCCTCGCCAGTACTTACGCATTGCCATCACCATTGTACACCCACTCGTTGCTGCCGATCCCCTCCCAACTGGAAATGACATAGTAGCAGCAGGTATTCAGATGGATCATGTACAGCAAGTAGCCAATGGTTTTCACAACCCTAAAAGGTTACACACAAAAAAACCCAAAAATATAAAAGCAGGCAGACTTTGAAAATATTATCAACGACACCACAAAGCGAGTCCCGAGTGGACTTGGGTGTACTCCACACACGCATATTTTAGAGAACCAAGTAATTTTTATTTTTATGAAGGATCGGTAGCATCAAAGTACACCGTGTTCTCACTCGGTACATTTCCATTTCCAGGAAGTGACACCCATCTTCACTGCACCAATTTAAAGGCCTTCACTGACTTTTTATGTAATCCCACAGCAATATGGGATTAGGTAATTATCTGTTGAAACATTTCTAAAACATTTTTATTCACAATTGCATTTCCAAAATAGTGTATACTTATAAGGAAACAAAAAAATAGCGACTCAAGTTCAATGTGAGTCCAAGTCAAGTGACTCGAGTGTCTACATCTCTGAGTATGTCACTTTTCTAATGTATTGAAGAAATAAAACACCCATTTTGTAAGGTATAACCAATGAACTTGATTAGCATTTGATTTCAGCACTGGTAAATGTATGTGGCTGTCCTATTTCTGAAAAGGTTCCTAGGTGAAAAACTGTCAAGTCAACTTTCCATTAGTAGAAATCAGTTCTCCCATCTCTCTATATCTATTTTCCCCTACCCTCTCTGTCTCAAAGTTATGACAACAGCTTCAGGCTCCTGAACTGCAAACCTGAATATGTTGGCTGACTTGGACTTGTTCTCAAACTTCTGCACAAACTCATTGTAGCTGTGGAGCTTGAGCAGACGAGGCAGACGAAGGATTGGGAAGATGCCAATGGCAAAGTAGATGAAATCCAAGGGGATTAGACACAGGACATCCAACTGTGCAGTCAAAAAAAGGAGGAACTTTACAGGGTTTGAGATTATGTATCATATATGTCCTCCACATGTGCTAAACTGTAGATTCTGTACAACCAACACACTGATCATACTCACACTCGCTCACACATTCAAATGGCTCAAGAAACGCACCACTTTCTGACAGGAAACTTTGTGCTTAAACTGCTTAAGCTGAGGCTTTTTGAGGATGACCTTACAGCGAACACAGACAATCCAGGACAGACTTAGACAAACAGAAACACTTGGAGTGAACATAACAACAAACTTTAGATTGTGCTGTTTGACTTAGACACAACTAAATCATGCACTGGCTCTTACAGACAAGTGGCCTGACGAATACACCACTTTTAATTTTTCAACAAATGCAAAAACATGTGCAAAAAATGGTAAATTGCATCGGTTAAATGAACTGGTGGACCGCTCGACTGTTCCACTGGAGTATTCTCCTGCGTGTATGTGCTTGACAAAGTAACGTTCGTTGTTCTGCTTGGGAAACTGATTATACTTATTGGAAGGCTGATGTGCCCAACAAATTCCTGTTCTGACTTTTTGAAACTTTGAAAACAGTGCCTCTTGTATAATCAGGTGTAATAATAATTTTTCATGATCTAAAATTCTCAGGAAAACAAAAAGTATGGCAAAGCAACAGCGACGGAATGGTTTTAAGAGTGGGAAGGGGGGGAAGCCCCAGCCATTAGACTGAAAAGAATACAATTATGAAGTTGCAATGAACCTCCAACGGCTGGTAGGCCTAAAAAGGGGGGGGGGCAAAATAACTACCTTTTCAAAGGTGGGGGGCCACCAGCCTCCCCCCATTCTGTGGCCAGTGCACCAAAGGTGTTTATTGCAAGAACTAAAGCAGATCTCAGTTATTTTCATGAGCAACAAAAACACGCAATGTTGAGCAAGGTTGGGTTCTAATTATTCTGGGACACCCTGTACAATAGCTAGCCTATTGAGATGACAGTTAACTATAAGTTATACTTTCAAATACACTTGCCAAACTTTTCACGTGAAACAGTGGGAATATTATTTTCATTCCTGTACCTTGAACTGCCAGCTCTTGGTATAATGCTTCCTCATCAACACCTTGTCTCTCTGAAGTGAGAAAAAGAAGACAAAAATACTGTCCATTTTCTGCATCTGTAGGCATGTTCCATTGAAGGCAAAATTGGGAAAAGGTGTTGCTTTGAAATGACTTCTTCCTTTAAAAACAACAGCTGGGAAGATAATGACAAGTCATCCAGTATAAGTTGTATGACGTTCAAATGACCAGTAACAAAAGGCATTCTATTGCCACTGTTCAACCCTTTTACTTGACCAGTAATTTCACTTGTGACTGATTTGTGATTTGACCTCAGAAATAACACTTTCTTTGACAAACTAAATGTAGGAATTTGACACAAACCGGGGCCCAATTTAGAGGTAATACTAACCACAGAAATGTTTACTTAGGCCCAAAAAGTTCTGCTTCAATTACATGCCATCTGATGAAAACAGGATAGACAAGTGGAAATATATCTTGGTTTAGCAGTCTTTCACCTGTATGCCAATTCAGTGTGCAGTTAAGTGTTAACTGGCTACATATAACAGAGGCATTTGACATTGTCTGAAATTACAATTACTGTTCACTGGTAACCGATATGGTATAACCATATTCTGTTTTACAAAGACCAGAGGTCATTCTCTCATTCTATTCAAATCCCCCCCAATACCTTTGCTTTCAAAATAGGGCAGGTCAGACACTGGAAGTAGAATCTTTTAGTTAGCTTTGCCCAAAAGACATGTCACAAAGGCTAATAAACAAAACGTGATATGATACACACAGCCAGTGGTTCTTTCCTCAGCACTTAAATTTACTGAGCAAGAACTTAAATTGAGCGCAGGAAACTTGAAGTCAGGACATTCCCTTTGCTGCGCCTACCCACCTGGATCTGACCGTTTTCAAAGTACAGCAGCCGGGTGTGCAGAATGATGTCCAACAAGTAGATGAAATCGCCCAGGTAGTCAAAGTAGAGCCAGGTGGTCTCTGCCCCGATGGTGTCCTCGTGGAAGGCTGCTCGCAGGAAGATGGAGATGGCATTATAGATGAAAACCAGGGCGACGAGAAACAACCAGGTCAGCCACATGCCTCCTAGCCAAGACAAATAGAAACAATCCCTTAAATAAACCCTTCTTTCCATATTACTTCCCACACATATACATATCATACTAGCACAGCCAGAACACCACTCAAAAATTGATCTGTTTCTTACACATGTGCAGATATGGCTCACCAAAACTTGAAAGAGCCTCATCACATTGGAGAAAACCAAATGTGATTTGCTCCCACAGAATGTCTGTCACTTGACGGCTGAGTAACAGTAGAAAACTTTTGTTCCCCAAAATTGATTTAGAGACTTTTCCCTTTTTATGCGAGCGGGTAACAAAATAATTGTAATTTGATCTGTTACACGAGGCACCTGTGACACTCTAGGAATATTTTACCTAGTGACCTGGGGAACATAAAGGGCCTGTTTGTTTCATGTAGATCTGGATCCCCATGAATGATCCGACATTGGTTCACAGACACCATAGCCCACCTAATCGATAGAGCCAACCAGCGTTGGGATCACTGATCAAGATCTGTGTGAAGCAATCAGGCCCATGGAAATAAATGTGATATAGGTGCAACACGTAATGTAAGTTCTATATTCCTTTCACAGTATTGTTCCGCATTGCTTATTTCTAGTAGGCCTAAACCCACTGTTTTATTTATTTCAGTTCTAAAGCTGTAATCTACATTTAAGCATTTTAATTTATGATTTGGGCAGAATTTCAACTTTTTATCTCTCTCCAAAACTAAAAATTTACTGTTGCTTTTTCTCATTAAGTATTTGGAGAGTTCAATTATTTAGTTCTAACATTAATTACTACATTGTTGAAAGCTGGGATTTGACATGAATTTCTTTTAAATTGGGAGTCATGTTTACAACCAGTCTTTAAGCCTATGTGTGGCTGTGAAGTCAAACTAAGACTACATTTGAACTACTTAATTTATATGGATAGAAATAACATTTATGCCAATGCCAAAGTTGCTGGCTAGTGGCTCCAGACATTTTTCATGGACCTGAAGCCATGTAATTTGGACATGGTCTTCACAACGGATTTTAAGACGTCTGACATCTCTTTATAAATCACAAACAATACTTCCCCATCCACAAGGTCATGGCTCCTGGGAGGAAGGTTGGTTGATAACCCAGGATCATAATATTCACAATTACCTGTTGGATCAATGGCATCCGGGCAGGTGTATTTAGCTAACCAGTTACGCAGGGTAAGGACCCTACAGCAGCCAAATTTCTTGACGTGGACCTCTGTGGTGACATCTGTGGCACTGCTGGGAGCAAACGAGTCCAGGCGTTTGCGGATATTGTGGACAACTGCAAAGTAAGTATTGAGAGAATGTTGTTTGCATCTAAGTGGATGAACAAGGTATTCTTTGCGTCATCTTGGGGATTTTGCAGAAAGACAATCCCTCCCATAAAGTCCATCCATTTTTTTGGAGAAGGATATCTGCCAATTTTTAAGACACTCTGGCCTACACACTAAAACCTAAAGTGTTGAATGCAACGTCTGTGAAAAAAAATACCAATTTCTGAAAATTGTTGACAGTGCTCGCTTTCTCTAGGTACATCCTGTTTGTCTTTACAAAAACCCATCCACAGTGCAAACTTACATGGTGATTGACAATTCCAAATCAGTCAGGGGTATTATTATAGTTGCACGAGCCATTATGTCCACACCCAGCACATTTTGACTGCTTTTTCAGCTTGGCTCAAGCCAAGGTAAAATGGCACATTTTTCATCAACTTTAACACTGCATATCTTGAGTTGGCAATGATGAATTTCTTATCGCCATGGAAACACCTACAATCTTTTGCAGCATGCTGGAAAGACTTTGTGATTGGTCAGAACACGCCAGGTGTGTGATATAATGCCTGTCCACATATGGTAATACTTCTGATTGTGAATAATCATCTTTGGCTTCATACCTGGAGGAGCGAGCGTGGCTGAGACGGTGGAGATGGGCGTGACCTCATTGCGTCCTGCCTTCTTTGCTCTCTTAGTGACGGCCTTGACAAGATGCTGGAGTTTCTGACGGGTGTTAGCAGCAACAGTATCTTCGTCCAAGCTGGGGATGGAAATTGTAACAGATTCTGTCGTTGATATAGCATCACCAGATAATTAAAATCAAAACGAATGGGCTTCACTTGCAATGAAGTCAAAATGAGGGCTTGTATTGAGGTCTGCTGGCAAGAACAAGGTTTACATGTGAATTAGTTTGAACATAGCACAGTCAAGCTTAACCCATCTGCATCTGTACTACATTACATTCATTTAATGGTGTCTACAGAAAACCATAGATTACTTGGGTGGTTTAAGGAAGGAAAAACAGATGTAAGGAAGTAAATTGGGCAAAGTGATTTCAGCCAGTTCAGTGACTTGTGGATTCATGTCTGAATAGTGTATATTATCAAGTTGACAATATGAGCCTGAACTGTGCACCCTTAAGCAGTGTCCATTCTGAGAGCAAAATGGTGAAAAATGTCAATGAAGTGCTCTAACTTAAATCATAATTTGCATTAACTAGGTGAACACAGCCTATGAAGGGTTTAGAATGTTTCTTGCACACACCAATGAGGCAGACAGTGAAACATCCCCTCCTCACCATGCCCTGTACCCCCCAACACAAGCAAAATCCAACCTGTTGCTCATGCAGCTCACATCACTCAAACTGCTCATAGAGCTGACTGCCGAGGGTCGCTTTTGGAACCAGCCACCCGTCCGCAGCGATGGGGAGCCGCTGCGAGGCGAGCTCTTCATCAGCTGGGAGGAGTTAAGGAGGTCCGGGTTCTGCAGGGACAAGGTCCGGGTGGCCACGGAGTGACTGTTGCTGCCAACGGCCATCGCCGGTGGCAGGATGGCAGAGATGGGACTAAGATGGTCCATGGAGCCAGGGAGACTGAAACGCTTGTTCATCATCTCAGCGGCATGTGGAAGGCCAAGAGATTCATTCATGGAGTGTACCTGACCCCTGTGGTGTTTGATATGAAAATATCACAGTGTGAAATTTGGGACAGTTTTAAGACGGAGGGACATGTACATGTAACTTGATTCCATTTTCAGTCTCAGTCTCTAGAAACAAGGGCAAGTTTGAGTGGCAACAAATGTTAACAATACTTTGACTTATGTGGTTGAACTGGTCTAGAGGATTATTGATACCTTGTTTTGTATTGATGCAATGCATTGGTGAGATAGAACACTGCCATCGTAAGCAAATGAGTACGATTATCTCCATTTCAAAAAAGTCAGTTGTTTTGCATAACCATCGTTTTGACTAGAGTCCTTCCTGATGGACTGCACTGTGACTCATGCATCAGTAAGAGGCAAATTATAGTTTGAACTCGAACCAGCTCTAAAGTTAAATATACGGCTTCCTTATCCCAAGTCACTGGGTTTGTCATAAAAAGGTTTTGACTTTAACAACAGTATGTTACACCATTGTACACAAATTCTCTCAGCCACAACTGTAGACAGGCACATTAATCCAACATCTAAACAGGCAAAGAATTTTTGAGTTACCTCCTTTAATACTCCAAACTCTTAATGACTGATTACGAATATGGAAGAAAAGTATTCCTATGACCACCACTCATTGCCAAAATGTTACCTCCGAGTGGGTTTCGCTGCTTGAATCAGATCCCCAGTTGAGCTGAAGACAGAATCAATGACTGAGCCGTTTGATGGGCAAGGACTTGTGGACAAAGTACTCATTACGCCATCCCGGTCTGAGGACAAATGACTTAGGCTGCTCTGCTCTGTAGAGGAGCAAAAAAGTCAAGAATCAAGACACACTTCATTAGCATAATGAGAACTTTCATCTGGGGAAGCTTTGTGGATATGTTATACAGCCCATAGTCATATCCATGTCAGGTACTTGATTGACGCCCCTGGTTTAAATTAACGTTAGTACATAATGGTGAAAAGCCACAGCTGTCCAAATCAATGGCTGTTTCAACCAAGGCTTATACAAGGTGTACTAAACAAACATGGAATGTTCTTTGCCCCTCAACAAAATTGTGTTTTCAGTTGCTGGGATGAGCTATTTAAAATATAAGGAAATTATGCAAAATTGGGGATGAATTTGGCTGATTTGTGAGGTATATCTCTAACCCTAGAGGGTTTATCTTCCCCATCTCGCAACTTTGGGAGAGGGTGATTCCATCACCATCTGCAAGATCTCAGCTATCTCGTGACTAATATGTCTGGAAGTGGGCATAAATGTAAAAGGCGCTGGTTAACAGTGTAGGTGTGTGAAGTTTTAGCTCCATCTAACAAAGGGTTTAGTTTAAGTTTTTGTATTTCACATTCTCTTGAGCATCGGCTCACTTTTGGTCTATAACGGACATTTCACAAGAACAGTCTGTCCAATTTGCATAACAATGGTGTCAAAATTACTGCAAGAATCAAAATCTGGGGTTTGCACAATAAGAAGACGTGATGCGATTGAAGGCAGGGTTAAGGGTTAGTTAGTCACATCAAGAAAGTTGGAATAAACACGCATGTAGATTGGTACGAATATGTAGACAAGCGAATGAACATACTCACTAATACACAAATAGTGCAAACCAACAGGCAGGAAAAAAGGAACTTAGTACTTACTGCCACTAGCCAAACCCTCAAGCTGCATGGGTGACACAGCCCCTCCTCCATCTGAAACGTATCCTGTATTGACCAAACCGCCGCACGCCTCGTCATGATCCGATGTGACAATGTCCACCCCATGGTGTGAAAAGTGGCCGGGTGGGGGCACCGACAGGCGGATGGTGGGCGTGGTGGCCTTTGGCACTGGTGGCAGACGGGTGGTGTTCCCCAGCAGGTGCAGGCTGTGCAGCTCCACTGTCTCTAGCTTCTGGGTGGAGGCCATGGCATCCAGTGGCTTCAACTTCTTGGGTGGGTGCTTGACGGAATCTACTGGGAATGACATCCGCTCATCTATTTGAGAAAAAATTAAAAGAAACTTGCTTTTTGATGGCAGCTGCATTTCTTCCCTTTAAACATTTTTTTCAATACCTGCTTGCTGAATCACTGTCGATATGAGTCAGTTTATAGATACAGAGAGTTGATGAGCAGGAAGAAAAAAATAAAGAATGTAAAGAGCTATAACACTCCAAGAAAAGCAATATGTGCCATTGATAATATTGATATTGATAACACACTCTAATGCCAGAATAATCTTGAATTACTATGAAGAAAAACACTGCATTATGCCGCGCCAACAATTCTTCATTAAAAGCCACACTTTTCATCATATTTGTCATGACATTGACAAATATGTGATTGTTTTTACCTCCAACTAAATCATTTTACCCAGTGAATGACTCTGACTAAAGCAAGGGACAGAGGCCTATACTGCCATGATTGCCTAGCGTGTATGCATAACACACGATTGATCAAAACCTGCACAAATGAAACATATCAAACAAAGACAAAGAACTGCACTGACTTGTCAATCAATACTTCACTGAGCATAAAAACAACATAAGGCAATCACGGCAACGTACGTCACTGATTCATGAAATACTGTGCGCTATCAAACTATTCACCTTTTCCCAACATGCTCAAAGGTTCGGTCACGTGAATTTGCTTTCACCACAAGGCTCTCTGGGGTGCAAAATAAACTTACCGATTATATTTTGGACATGTTGGACCACCGTTTACATCTTCCCACGTCATGTCGTCAATTTGTCATAATTTCATCTTGTAAGACGATCATTTCTTCATCATTAGCATAAACAGCATAGCAACCAATGATCGGAAGATGCGGCCCATGTCTCATGTGCAGAGGAGGACCAATCTTTGCGTCTTCGGCGCGGCACGTAACACGCAGCGCATGCACCTGCACGTATGCACCTGCTCATCCAATTAATTATGATAAACATTCAATAGCGCCCTCATGAGGGATGTTTATTGTTGCCATGCTAGCCGCTATTGAGGGATCCGGATCAGACCTTTTGTAGGGCCGCCGTTTTTGATGAATGCACGGCTGGTATCCCAGGTGGAATTGAGGTTGTCTAATTCTCTAGTAGTCTGACATGGCACTGGCAACAAATGGTCACGGAGATGGAAAGAAACAGGTGGAGAAATGGAGTGAAAGAGACCTCCACAAAACACGACACAGAGGTGAGTGGTGAGAATTACGTAGAAGGAACTTGTGGACGTGAAGGGGGATAATTTTGCTCCTTTCGATTGTAACACTGACATTGAAACCCAGCTATACATGTCGTGGCCTTGGAAGATTTGCTCATTTCAAAATACAGAAAAGGAAACAAATTAACAGTTAAACTCAAAGGTATACTGTGACATATTAGCTGGCAAAACCATTGAACTTTAAAGGGAATAATGGTTTAAATTATTCACTCCAGTACTTTCAATCAGTGGGCCGTCACTCTTTCTAAACGGCAGGGTTTAATTCTAGAGCAGTTGGCTTTATTATTTTCAGTGACAAGAGTCAACGCTCAAACTATGTGGTACCAGCATTCTACACTGCTGAATCATTTTATGCATAGGTTTCACCATGATTTCATTTTCCCCATTGAACAGTGCCTACATGCAGTCGTGATTTGAGTCCAGTGATTGACTACACTAATTTGGAATTAATCAACAGTTATGACGGCCTAAAAGGGAGGTAAATCAAGTTGTGAATGAATTTTAAATAACTGCTTACGGGGCAAAATGCTTGGACAACAAAGCAAAAATTAATCTGAAAATTACTAACTTGCAAGTTTAACCATTGAACATATTACATTCTGACATTCTTTTAGAATTTATATTAACTGAAGAAAGAATGGAGTTAGAACCAGGATTCCTAAGTTGTGTTACAGTTAGACAGTGCAAGTGCTAATCTTATGTAATCCTCTGAACTCTGGAATTTAAGGGCAAGAAATGAAAGTACAGAGGAAGGCCATCGCTTTTTCATGGACAACTACCATCGCATGTTTGCCAACAACAAGCCATTACCATGCATTCCGTCAGGAAAACGTAATCAGCCAACCAAGAACATTTCCAATGTCTCCACAGGTATGTGCTGGGTGACTGCAGTCACAGAGTAAGTTGTGGTATTATTCTTTTTGTGAGCTATGCCGGTTGTTGTGCACTCGTTGTGAATTACATGTAGGCAGCTGAAATTATAAAGAAGGGTTTGATACATGCACCTGTACCATCGTTTTCCACAGTATAATTGATAGTAAAATGGCCAAAGTCTCATCAAAAAGCTTAGCTTTAATTGTAGTAATGGCTGATATGTCCCTTGAAGCTAGGTTTGGAAGCACAGTGCCATTCTGATAAAAATGGAAAATGAAAAAAGGGTCGTTCAAATGACGTACATTTCTTTCGATGATTTTATTTTAGAAAGCCATATCCTCCTGAGATAAAATGGGAAAAAACTAATGTCTCACACAATCAGTCTTAACTACATGTACAAGTTTTATCTAGCTTCCATACATGTATGCTGTCTAGAATCATTTTTTGGGCCTTTACAGAGGGCTTTTCAGTTTATTGATGGGCTATTGAATCATCCCTCTCCCTACTATTCCTCGGTGAGAAAAAAAAAAGACGGATTGTGAAAAATGTTTTGGACTTTTGAACAACTAAGATGTATTCAATAGTGTTCAAAAGGGGCAACAGTAGAAAAAAGCTATAAATATCTTGTTCTGATGAACGAATCTGCACGAATGTAATACATATTACAGATGTACATGTGTATCATGCACATTGTCCCCTATAATTATAGTGTCATGTGGTGTTAGCATGCCCCCCTGGCTTCTACAATTTCCATGACTGGGCAAGTCATCCCCCCCACAATTTCCAATCCCTCCATTTTCTGGCTCAAATTGATGCCAGTGATGAAGGTACTTTTTGACAGGGCATTGGTCATTCAGAGGTTTGACATAATTTTAACCATGGCTGTTCCGTGCTCTTGTAGGTTCGGCGACTAGTCTTTCATGTGGTAAACAGCACCTAGAGGACCTCCAGATGCCAGAGACTTGGAGTCATGAAATAGCTGACCACATGGCCAAACTACATAAGGAGAGAAAGATTGTGGATCCTGTCATTATTGCTTCCAATAGGATTAAAGATCTGAGAACCATCCTAAAGAAACTGTGAGTCAATAAAACAATTCAAGTGTTTAAAATTCCCTCATTGACGAAACAAAGTTAATTGTACTAATCACAAGATATAATGAAAAAATCATTTACCAGTGCCCTTTGCTATATGATGTCATTTCAGTCCGTATGAGAGGACTGCTGAGGATAATGATATCGTCTTCACTCACCTGAAGGAGTTCCCCCTCCTAGCTGACCAGCTGTCCAGCCAGGAGCTGAAGGAACTCTGTACAGTTGCCCAGCTAGATGTCTGGAAGGACGAAGATTACACAGGTGGCACAGCTTCTTTGACCTTAAGTAGTATTCAAGGATCTGCCACGCAATGAATTTTTGTTAGACACACTTTTTTGTGTATCTTTATGCTAATTTATATAACTGGTTTTTG